ACCCTCCCCGCCCCCATCGGCACCCGCGCCGAGAATAAAACCATCGAAGCCCTCGCCGCCTCCCTCCCCACCGACCCCTCCGCCTCCCCCACCGTCTTCCCACCCGCCGCATCCCAACCACCAGCTGCCGAACTCGCACCCGAGCCAACAACCAGCTTTACCGAACTCCCAGCTGAGAGGCCGACCGCGGACGAGGATGGTGACGTGGCCATGGACAAGGACGACGCGAAGGACGCCGTCCCGGGCGTGGAGAAGGTGGAGGCGGAGACGGAGGGTGCAGACGTGCCTGCGAAGGAGACGGATACACACGTGGAGGCGGAGAAAGATGCGGAGATGGGGATGGAGGGGACGAAAGGGACTGTGGCTATGGCTACGGTTGCGATCGTGGATGCGGGTGCGGATGGGGAACAAGGGAGTAAGGAGGGGGAGGGGAGGAAGTTGGTGGAGGCGGAAGCGGAGAGCGGGGAGAAGGCGAGCGAGTGAATTCGAAGTCCGATGGTTCCGTTTTGCAATTTCCTACCGACGCCGGACGAGCCGATCGTTCTTGTTCCGGTCCGGTCCGATCGTCCCTCCAGGGCCTTTCACACCTGAACCCGATTCAGAGACAGCAGACCGACTGACCGACCGTCACACATGTCCTTCGGTCAACGTCGGCGAATGGATCGGCGCGGGATGGCTGGGCGTTTATACTCGGGGACGTACGAAGGGGGAGGAGTCGTATCATCGTTTTGTGGCAGCGACATGCATATATGAATTGGGATGCATGCATGCGTGCATCAGCAAGGAGTTTTGTTCTCGTCGGGTTCTTCCTCGCTAGGTGAGTTGGCTCTGCTGGCTGGCTCGCTTACAACTGCCTCTTTTCAATTACATGCCGTTCTGATTGTTTCTTTCGCGATATGCGGACACAGTCCAAGGTTTAGATAGACGAAATTAGAAAAAGAACGAAGAATTCATCGATATATTGTGGCGTTTGGCTTCAACTCGCTTTTTTCGGGGCGGCCTATCGGTGTCGGTGGTAAAGGAGCCTGCTGCGCGGCAATGGATGTGTGTGAGGCCAACAGCGTCTCCACTGCCGTCACGCCCCATTCCTACCAAACGGAAGCCTACAATATATGCCAGGGCGAGAAGTGCGGTGGGACATACTCCATACGATACGCCGGAACATGCGATCCCTATAGCTGCGACTTCAACTCCTTCCGGAAGGGTGACAAGAGTTTCTATGGAAAAGGAGAACCGTCGATACCAACGGCAAGATCATCGCGGTTACTCAGTTCCTCACCGGAAGGAGCGGGACGCTCAGCGAAATCAAGCGATTCTACGTCGTCGACGACAAAGTCATACCGAACTCCGAATCGAAGGTTCCGGAGTTACTGGGAACTCGCTCAATGAACAGTTATGCACTGCGCAGAAATCCACCTTTGGAGATGAAGACACCTAGAAGGAGAGAGGTGGGTGGGCATCCATATCACGCGCCGCGGAGAAAGGGATGGATATGAGTATAGGCCATAAGCATGATAAATCCAAGTGTTCTGTACTCCTTGAAAAGCCTCATGGCATAGCCGCGCTTGTACGAGGTTCTGTCCGACACTGGGACGATATCGTCGAGGGGCTTGCTCTGAAAATCAGTCAGAAGCTCCTTTATCTCCTGTTCTCTGGCCTCGCCCTTTTTAATAATGCGTTGCGGCGCCATTGTCAAGACGCTTCTTTGAATGGACGTAGAGACAGAACTTTTGCTGCTTGGAGCGTAGATAGCGTCGACTACCGCCGAACCGATGAAACTGGAACTGAAGGAGTGGACTATAGACTGCGAACAAGACTTTGACGGAGAGCGAGACTGGAAAACTAGGGAGAAACGACATCTTTACAATCCTTACCATGGCTACAGAGAGAGTATTTTCGACGAACCCTCGTCCTCCGGTGGTATTAACCCTCTGATTTCGACCGATTATGTGTAGCTGGGGGATTTTAGGGAACTCTCATTGCTGTATGTTTTTTTGGCTTCCTGCTATAGGAATTTTTGGTCTAGAGATCGTCGCATCGTCCAGGCATGTGCTCTCGAGAGAGTCCAGGGACCTGGGTGTGGTCTGGATAGTCGCTTCTACTAGAGCCTGTGTAGTTCAGTATTAACTGTATTATTTAGTGTCTGGTCATTATCTCGTCTGCGCGCCGCAGGCATGTGCAGACTGCAATCCCACAATTCGGCTCTCGGTTGAAAGTCTAACCGGTTTCGAGTGAGATGTGTGGAGTGTGGAGTTCCCCGTCTCGCGCGTGGGTGTCGGCGCGTCGCATCATATAAATACTTACCTACCTGTGTCCTGTACAAGTCTCCAGTTACTACCCACCCACGTTCATACTTGTCAAATTAGCCATTTTTATAGTTGAAAGCTGCATTACAATCCCCTCCAAGATGTCCGACAACGCTGCCCTCCGCTCCGGCCTCTTCAAGACCGCCGCCATCCTCAGTCTTCTTTCGACTGCCGGTCACATCAAGATGGGTCTCGACGAAATTTACCCACAATTCAAGGCCCTCCAAAATCCTCGTGCTAGACGCGCAGCTCACAATGGTTGGGATTATATCAACGTGACGATGCTTCTTTCAGGTTCGTTCCTCTGCCCGGACATGCACCCCGGGTCACTGACACTGATGTTTGAAGCTCTGCTCAACTGGCAATGGGCGAAAAAGGCCCCGGAGTCTCTGGAGGACAAGGGAATGCTGGCAGTCTTAGCAGTCGGTGGTGCGTTCATGGGATTCCGCTACGGAGCTGTTGGAGAATGGCGTCCGATCGTGACGTATTGGGGGATTCCGACCATTGCGATTGCAGCCACTCTTTTGTAATGGAGATGCCGCATGTACTATGGTTACAGGCAAAAGTATTGTTAGCGCGGCGCTAATCAGGGGTATCCAACCTAAACCGTTTTTGTCCTTTTTTCATTACAAATTAGATATAGATTTCATTATCGTGTATAGCCTCCATTTGCGCCTATCACATCCTAGCATCTCTAGCCCATTGATTCGACAACTCGTACAGGAATTCCTCTAGTATAGCCTCCCAAGCATCGTTAATTCCCTCCCGAAGCTGGTCATAAGTTAATCAGGCATCCCCAATTCCCTATAGTGGTCCTGGATCTAGTCCTTCATCTAATTCCATACTGTCTCAATAGGATTCAGGTCCGGAGAATGAGCAGGCTAATAGATGGTGAAATCTATATCCAATTAGTAATGGAAGAATGAACAAAACCGGTTTAGGTTAGACACCCCTGATTAGCGCCGCACTAACAATACTTTTGCCTGTAACCATAGTAAACGTGATTGAAGATATCCAACTTTTCCGATGCCTGGAAACACATAAACTGAGCTATCGTTCTACTTATTCACCACTGAAATCGGAGGTTAGATTGGTTAAATTCGGACGAGATCAGATGCATCATGCGTGGGACGACTGCAGTCGGATCACCTTCGCGAAAGAAACAGGCCAATATTACGTGATATATCCATCAGTACCATGCGATCGACCGCTGTTTTCGGCCCTCTAAAATTATGCAAGTTTCCAATGCACCAGTCCACTGGTCCCGACCACTACTCAAGGCAGGGCCTTTCCGAGTTTACCCACGTTCCCTCCTTTCCCTAGAGGGCGATAAGAAGGAATACGATGTTACCGAATGGCTGGAACACTGGCGACCTGGCGCTACCGTAACCTCTGCGTCCAGAGCTATCGAAACCCCCCCTCCAGATGACAAGGATCTCCGCATGGTTGTAGCAGCTGCGGGGAAGGTATCATTGTGTGAGGTTCAACACATGTCCCTAGCCTGAGAGGCCTCGGGTTCGACAGCCGATGGATTGATTAATGCTTGAGTAGGTATAGGTAAGTACCTTATAAGGTCCCTACTCCCTAGGGTACTTGCGAATTCCCGGGAACCACACACAAACCTTCAAACTACTTACTGCTACTCTACCGGTCATCGTCATGGCAACTGGAACCAAAGAGGACCTCATTGTCCGTGTCCCCTCTGATTTGACCAAAGAATGGCTGTCTTCGAAGTTCAATGCGGCTGTATCGTCCTTTAAAACCGAGAAAATCGGTACAGGACAGGTCTCGCATTGCCATCGTGTATCCTTGGACTACGTGGACCCGAAGTCCGCTGGTCCAAGCAGCGTGATCTTGAAGGTTGCCTCTGACGATAGCTCCTCCAAGGAGTCTGCCCAACTCCTCAATCTGTACCAGCAAGAGGTCAAATTCTACACGGAAATATTCCCTCATCTCCATCCTGGATCGCTATCTCCAGTGTACCATGCGGCTTATTACGAAGATGACAACACTTTCTGCTTACTGCTCGGAGATGCGACTCCAGCAGTGGTTGGGAATGAGATCGAAGGAACCACCATTGAAAAGGCACGGCTTGCAATGCGAGAGCTCGGCAAGCTCCAGGCGTCAACCATCAACAGTACCAAAATGCAAGAGTTAGAATGGTTGAACAGGCCAAGTCCCCTGGATCAGCAAATGTTCCAAGCGATGTTCAAAGAATGGGTTGAAAGATATGAGAAAAGAGTGAAACCGGCGCATATGGTCGTCTGCTCCAGCCTCGTCAGCACCTTTGACCAATTTGAAGCGGAGAGAAAGGAGAAAGAAACCGTATGGGGACTCGTCCATGGAGACTACCGACTCGACAATCTTCTCTTTGGGGAGAGCGGCTCCGATCGGGAGTTAACCATTGTCGATTGGCAGACCCTATTCTGGGGCCCGCTCATGTCCGATGCAGCATATTTCCTTGGATGCGCCCTGGATCCCGCACTTAGGCGTGAGCACACTGATGAGCTCCTCAAAATTTACCACGAAGCCCTAGGCTCAGAGATCGTGACTCTGGAGACGTGTCGCGAAAGCCTGCGGAGACAGGCATTCTTCGGCGTCGTGATGGCCATCGTCTCACCGATCTTTGTTGAGCGAACCGAGAGAGGAGACGATCTGTTTATGACGCTTATCGCCCGACATTGTCAGCAAGTGCTCGATCTTGACTCGTTGGACATGTTGCCGCGGCCTGCTGCTCTTGTACCGCTGTCACCGGCACTGAAAGATGAGGGCCGTCACCCGCCGGGAAAAGAGCATTTCTGGCAGGAGAGCTATTACATGGATTTTGCAGACCTCTCACAGGGCATTGGAGGATATGTTCGGCTTGGTGTCGACCCTGCTCGAAATCGCACATGGTATACGGCTGTTCTCGCTGGCCCAGGAAGGCCGTCGGTGGCGATTGTTGACTTCCACGCGCCGTTGCCAGACGCAGACATGAACATCAAAGCTTCTGATTTTGAATCCAAGCAGAAAGTGAATGATCCACTAAAGAGCTATACTGTTACCGTTAAAGGTACTGCTCGGTCCTATGCGGATCCGTCAATGCTCCTTCAAAAAGACTGGGACACGCTAGGGAAACCAGTGCCAGTGACATTGGATTTGACCTGGGTTTCTGACGGAACACCTTACAAGTACCGTATCACCACTCGCTATGAGATTCCATGCCTCATCACTGGGAGTATCTCTATCGGCTCGGAGACTATCAAGCTAGATGCTGTCCCAGGGCAAAGAGATCATTCCTGGGGGGCACGGGATTGGTGGTCAGCGGATTGGGTATGGAGCGCACTCCATTTGGATGAGAAGACACACATCCACGGGCTGGACCTGCGCGTCCCATCTGGTCCTCGGCTGTCCCTAGGATACGTTCAAAATGCCCCGAAGGAACAAAAGATCACCGAATTGAGCAGTAACCTGTGTGAGGAGGCGTTTCACGACAATGGGTTGACCAGCACGGCGACCTGGACAATCAAGAGCGAGGGGATGGAGGACATAGTTGCGAATATGGAAATTCTGGGACATGGGCCGCTCAGGCTTGAAGCGGATGACGGAAGGGTGGCACTGTTCCCAAGAGCTTGGGGGAAGATCAAAACCGAAGACGGTCGAGAGGGGGTCGCATGGGCGGAATGGAATAAAAACTAAGGGTGAGATGAAAGATCTCCTGCGTAGCTGTGAATACAATAGAACCAGCAGCCCTCTTGCTTCGAAATCCTACAAGTCCAATGACAAGCCACCAACGAGCTTCTACAGCCACGAGACCCTTTTCTCATCAAATATTCCGTTCGATATGCACTGCTTTGAGGCTATAGACTCCATCGCATTTTGGGACGGCCGTATGCGAGACATTGTAATCTACATTTTCGATGTTCCGCGATACCTGATGCACGAATCAGTGCTTCATTCGTCCGCCTGAGAACCTGTTTTGGCACGTTCATGTAAAACTACGGAGCCCGACCATGACATAATAGCCGGATGACCGTAGGTGGTCCCGTATTGAGAAATAGACTTAGCACTTACAAGTGCTGATGGAAGAAGTTAAGAAGGAGCTTATAGGCCTTTTCGTAATCGGTCTTGACTTCCGCTTTTTCCAAATCACCACTATTTCCGTTAATCAAAGCCAATCTATTAGGTCAGAGTTGAATTCAGGTAGACTTACCGGGCAGCCATGAATCCGTGAATCTGGTTGTCGAACCAGGTCACTTCTCCTTTTACCTTCAAACCTTCCTGCCATTTCCCGACATCGTTCTTATCCTCATCCTGACTTGGCAGCATGGCAAATGGGATGGTGATGTTGGGGGCATCTGCTGGGTCCACCATTGCCGGGTGGCAAGCTGCGCCAGCTTTAAAAGGGGTGCCAGCCTGGGAAGAGAGACTGACAATCTAGAAGAACATGTTCGTCAGCGGTCCATTCTCGTTCATATACATCGGTCAAGCGCACCTTTCCTCCCCAACAATAACCGTAGATCCCCCAGGTTTCGATCCCTGCCCCCGGCCCCTTGGATTTCAATTCCTCCAGGACCTTTGGGACGCGGCTCACCGTCTTGGGCGGTGCAGCAGGGCCAGAGAAGAATGCACCCATCTTCTCTTTCTTGTCGTCGGTGTCCGGTGGGTACCAGGAAATGTGTGCCGGTTTGCCCTCGAACCAATCCGGCATGAACACCAGATAGGGACGGTCTTTGTCCGAATGGGCCAGGATGTCGGCTCCCTGGAGTGTTTGAGGGAAAAAGCCGAAAATGTCATAGATACAGAGGAGGGCACGTTTGGCGTTCGCTGGTCCGGTCACATCTTCCTCGCGTCAGATCTGGCATATCGATCGGACCGAGAAGAGCTCATGGAAATATCTTGGGTTCAAATGGACTCACATGTTTGCATGCCATTCACAGTGATGTATTTGCCCTTAGGTACGTAGTCCTTGGACACGACCGGAGGGATAGTGCAGCCTAATATGTGTCTCAGCATTTCAGTACTCTCACACCCCACTCCGACACAACTTACAAGCTTCGGAGTGCTGAGACATGCTGGCGAGATATCGGCGGGGTTGCGTCGGGTTGGTCAGTGGGATGCGATTGGGCCTTGATATTGAAACAATTGGTTGCAAGTGATTCCGAGTCGCGGCGATCCGTAATGTGCTCCGCGAAAGAAATGATTTGGATAGAATTTGTCGGTTCGGAATGGAGAGATGGAACATTTCTGGCCGATGAGCTGGTGGAGCTGGAGGTGCCGTTGAGTTCCAATGCCGAGGAAAGTGGCGGGTCGACGATCAATTACATCACCGCGTGTCTCAACCCGAATCTGCACCTGAAATCTGCACCCGAATCTGCACCCGAAGGCCGAGATATCGCATTAATCTACTAAATCTACTCGGGAATGAAACTTGCTGTCTCTCAAGTAAAGCGCGTAGAAATGAGGTTAACCAACCTCTATCTTCCGAGAGACCAGGATGTCCAAGCTGTCCATATTCGTGATCATCTTCATTCTATTACAATGCACTCCATACGCCAATCTATGCATGCTTTGAAACGTAATCAAGCTCAGAAATGACCTGCATCATCCAACTTGATTCCGTCCACACCGTTTTCCAACGCATTCGCGGCGTTGATCCCGTTCGTAATCTCCCCCAGGCAGCCAGCGCTTGCTGCCACGAACCCCAGATACGGCTTGCTTGGATCCAGGACACGGCTGAGATACTCCGGATGGAATTGCACGCCAACAAACCACGGATGATTTTTGAGCTCGATGATCTCCATTCGCACGCCCGTATCGTCCTTACCGATGAAATTGAGACCCTGATCGTGAAGCTTCTCGACCATCTTCGGATTGACCTCGTAACGATGACGATGACGCTCCGAGATTGAGTTCTGATGGCCATAAAGCGCCTTGATCTTGCTCCAGTCCGTATCGGGCTGGAATAGAGTCGGACGAATGCCCAATCGCATAGTGCCGCCCATGGTCGTCTTGTCGATTTCCGGCATGAAGACAATGAGATGATTCTCTTCCGACACGCTCTGTTTGAACTCTTCACTGGTAGCTTGTGTGATGCCACATACATTCCGGGCGAATTCGATGACGGCGATTTGCATTCCCAGGCAGATGCCGAGATAGGGAGTCTTGTTCTCTCGAGCCCACTTGGCTGCCGCGATCATACCCTCTGTCCCGCGGATCCCGAATCCTCCAGGAACCAGGATTCCATCGGCCGTGCAGACGGAGTGCCATGCCTTGTGGAACTTGGCAGGGTCGGACTCGCGCGTTTCCCGTTCTAGATGTTCGGAATCGACCCAGATGATGTGGAGCTGTCGCTTACAGCGCATCGCCGAATGCTCCAGAGACTTGATGACGCTCAGGTATGAGTCGTGCAGCTCGGTGTATTTCCCCACAAGGGCTATCTCCACCTTCTCGTAGAATTGATGGTTGCCAACCGTCAACCCTTTCCATTGTGTCCATGTTCGTTGACCGCGTGTAAGGAGTGCTGGAGGAATCGTAGCGTTGTTGAACTTCAACTTTTCTCGAAGAAGAGGAACCAACCCTTGCTCTTCAAGCAGCACGGGAACTTGGTATATTGAGGGCATGTCTCGAACCACAATGACCTGCTCGACATCAACCAGGCAGAAGTGTGCGATTTTCTGGATGACCGACGGTTCTAAGTCTCGTTCGCATCGGCACGCGATCTACGCTAGTCAGTTATCATTCCCAGGAATTCGAGGTCCAACATACCAAATCCGGAATCAGACCGGCACTCCGAACGGAGCGGATGGTGTGCTGCGTGGGTTTCGTCTTCTGTTCGCCATGTATCAATGGCACGTAAGACACGTGGATTTGCATGAAATTGTCCTTCCCGGCCCTTCGGCGGAGTGCGGTAAGGGCTTCAACGAACGGCATGCTCTCAATGTCTCCGACCGTCCCACCAAGCTCGATGATGCAGACATCCGGCTCCTCCTTGGTGTCGTCCACCGGGATCCTGGCGACCCTCTCGATCCAATCCTGAATCGCATCGGTGATATGTGGAACCACCTGCACCGTCCGGCCCAGATAGTCACCTTTCCGCTCGCGTTCGATGACATGCTTGTAAATTTTTCCGGTGGTGATGTTGTTTTCGCGGGTGAGGGTGATGTTTAGGTAGCGTTCGTAATTGCCGAGATCGAGGTCCACTTCGCCGCCGTCGTCGAGAACAAAGACTTCGCCATGTCTGTAGCCGTAAGTGCACATCCTTCATGCAACGATTTCTGCACCACCCACTCTCTCGGGTTCATGGTCCCTGCATCGACATTGAGATAGGGATCGATTTTGATCGATGACACGTATGAAACTCGTCAGTACACATGATGAAGCGCGTCAGAAGCGTGAACATATCTTCAGTCCGATCGTCTTCAGCAGCAGGCCCGTGGAAGAGGCTGCAACGCGTTAGTGATCACTGCAACCTGTGTGAGCGTCGGTAGCGGGGTATACCAATGATGCCCTTTCCCACCCCACTAATGACACCTGTAGTCCTTTGTTTAGCATGGATCATATACAGTTATGGCCATTGACGGACCTCCGGATACCAAAACGTATTTCATCTTGTGGAGAGGTATGGGGAGGGGAGACTCAATGGTCGGCAATATTTTCGGAGAGGAAATCAGACCGGACGGGAACTTTTGATATTTTGTGACGCTTGCGGAATTGTGGATTGGTGAAGCAAAACGGGAGGACCCACTCGCGACAGGGATTAGTTTATGCCTGAGGCGACAGGGCAATATAAAATTGATGACATAATCAGATCGATTAGCATGATTGATTTCATCTGATGATGGAAGTGATGAGATCTGATGATACATGCATACATATACCGAAGACTCCTTCTTAGCTGCCTCTACGATGTAGACGCCTATTCAGTCTCCCCTCAGTTTCTACTCTTCTGTATCAATGAAGGTGGCAATTCTCTCAAGAAACCAGACGTCTCGTGCCCTCCGGCGAAGCACCGCTCGGGACACCCTCCGTACTACGGCATAAGATTACCCTATGCCTGGTCGAAGTAGGCATCTATATACAACTTTTGGTAAATGTCCGAACAATTTGCATATCTTCCAACGTGGCTCCGTATGTCCGCTAAGAGTATCCCGTAAGGGTAATCTCCAGGCTTTTGGCATCACGACTCTTGAACACCCAACATACTCCAACGCAGCAATCGTACTCATTGTGGAAATCCAATAGCCAAAATTTCGAAGATTCCGGAAGCCGAGACGCCTTGCACACATTTGTCCTCAAGCGTCGGCCGGGGGATGAAAGGGGTCTTTCTAACAAATCGTTACTCACGGAATCGTTCCACTCGTCCTATTCAAATCATTGATGAGAGGGCTCTTGGAAGCCACCTGTTCCCTCCAGACCGGCGCTTGTATCTGTGGCAGTGCGGTCGGAAAATCCTCAACATAATCAAGCCGTGTCTCGGGGTTTCTAAGCAAAGTGACTCCCAACGGCGGGAAGTGTTCGGGGAGGGTTGTTCGGAATCCTCCGATGGCCATATGTGGGTGAGGTATATATTGAACGATTTTCAACTCGTTCAGTGATACTCCATTGGATCCGACGCCATCGGAAGGGGATCCTTCTTTCGAAGTCGAAAATGGCATAAACCTCGTTGAAGATCCTGTAGGATTGGTCGATGTTTCCTGGCACTGCTCTTGATAACTAAGGCGCGGGAGGGTTTCAATCCGGGATGTCCGCTGGTGAAGCTGTATCTGGAGGGGAGGAGAGTACAATTGTGGGCGAAGAAGGAACGCTCGGCGTCAACACAACCGCCGGTGTAGGTCGTGTAGGGCTCGGGTAGGGCGACGGCACCTGAAGAGTGTCCCGTCGTCTTGGCTGAAATCCGGGGCTTGGATCAGACGTCGATCGAGAAGCCTCGATAGGGTCGGACATGGTCCGAATCCTTGCTTGCATGGGTGCTCGCATAGATGGGGACGGCGACGGCGACCTCGAGGCGACTCCACTCTCTGCAAAGCTTATCCGTGAGGCTCGTCGGCTCAGACCAGTCGGGGCGCCCTCCTCGCCCTTCAGGGCCCGGTACTGCTCTTCGGTGTGTCGCAGCTGTTTATTCCGACTCGCCTCTCCTGGAACGGTGGGGTACATTCCTGCCCTGCCGAACTTGAACTCGGAATAATCGTATCGGTCCGGCGCTGGAGTAACAAACCAGTCACTGACCGAGTTCAATGCCTTGGCCACCTGTTTTCGAGCCCCAACGTCGACACTTGGCATTGAAAGTCGATGTGCTCGATCGTGGTCATCCGAGTCCATCGTTGAATGCGGCCTTCCATTGGCTTGCAAGTCGGTGGGCGATCGGGGTCCATCAGAGCCCGAGCTCAATCCCGATCTGACCCTTTCAACCTCCACCATCTCGGTTTGTTGATCTCTTGGAGGCGGTCTTCTAATGGAAGCATGTCGCTCATCCTGTGTTGGGTCCGCCGCACCTGTCGCTGTATCAGATTCCGAGTCCGGAGTATAGACTTCTCTTCCGTTTCCGTTTAACCCTTTCGGGTCCGAAGCATTCCTTTGCTGCGGAGGGCTCTGGGGGATATGAAGAACATACAACGACCCCAGAGCTGCCAATCCGGCGGCAAGGATTGGACCCCAGCCACCAATGCATGCCATGGGCTCGATTCCGTAAAGCATTGGCTGGCTAAAAAAGTTCAGTTCCCCGATGATGAGGACAAACCCCACTGCACCGACGAAGAATGGGGCTTCGATCGCGGACAGAAATTTCCGGATGACGGAATTGATCCCTTCCATGTCTTTGAGGGTTGCACCATTTGTGCCTTGGATGAGATCGTTCTCGTTGGTTTCATCTTGGTCATCGCTGTAAATCAATTTCAGCCAGTTGTCCTTTAGGATCTTGTTCCACATAGACACCAAGGAAAGGACGGCGGGAATGCAGCACGCAGCAGCGAGCAGCGTTGCGGTTCCGAAGGTGACTTTGCTCGGAGCCGGGATGACGTAGATTTCATTGGCCGAACCACCTCGAAAGGGAGAGGACGGCCCTTCTGTGGTCGAACAGGTGAGGCCACAGGTATGTTGCTCGTAGGGGAAGGAACCAGTATTCATCGGGACGGGATTTCCCAAGTTGTCCAGGCAATCCGACTCATGCTGGCGGTAGAACTCCACCATCAAGCTTATCAAGCCTGCGATCCTTAGCAAACTATGTCATCTGTGTTACGGATACCCACTCACCGGCCAATATGAGGCTTGTCCAGATGAAGATGATATTTCGACCTGGATCGTTGAAATAAGTTGTGGATAACCTCGCGGTGACCGGAGCGGCCAGAATGCCGATGGAGCAAAGCTGGAAGATTCCATACACGTCTAGGTCGATGGCGCCTATAGGTTATTAGCTCCGGAGTGGAAGCACCGAACGGCCAGGACGAAACTCACCATCGATGTGGAGGGAAGCGATAGCGATGCCATGAATGGCGGCAACGGCGGGGAAAAGTAATGCGGCAGCTAAACAGGCGTTTCTGAGCCACTCGTTCTTTCGAGCCAGAACGCAGGCTAGAACGAGGACATAGTATCTTAAGAGGCATGGCAAGTTAGCCTACCATTCCGCCTGGAGCTGTGCAACAGATGGGAGATCGGGTTACATACAAGACTCTCGAGCCCGGTCCATACTGGTCGGAGACGGGCCAGGCACACACAACTTGCAAAGCCTCGACGGTCGCATTCGGAGGAGAAGCAGCACGGGAAACGAAGGTGTTCGGATCAACGAGAAGGCCAAGCACAGGCGGCATGACCTCAGGGCTCGGGATGGCACAGGATGGAGATACGAGTATAGGTGAGGGAGTAATACATGTAACCGGATTCGCAGAGAGGGTTGTTATATAGCGACACCAGTGGCATGGTGGGAAGGTACAAGAAAGGAAGGGTAAGGTCCGAGACGAGAGATAGTATGCATCGACAAGGCCAAGAAGGGGGAGCGAAAGGGCCGTGGCAAGAGGTCGGAGACCAAGGCTGAGATTTGGAGTGGTCTCTCCAAGTTAGGTGAACGAAGGACGCAATACGTATCTCACGTTCGCGCAGGGCGACCAAACAGGACGGGGGACATCACACTGCAGATGGGACTGCAGCAGCCGGTGGACTTTGTGTCATTTGTCAACTGTCAAACTGCACCTATCCCTCAGGCTAAGGCTGGGGGAAAGAAGCAGAGCCTCAAGTCAAGCCACCGTCTCAGCGCTGGGTATTAGTAATAATACGCGGAAATTCCTAGCATGTTGAGTGGTACGTGCGAGGAGAGGGAGAAGACGCAAAGACGGTATGAGGGTTTAGATTGCTCGCTAATATTGGACACGGGTAAAGGAAGGCTCAAGGACGGATTTCCATCTATTAATCCTATCATTTCTAGGTAAACGAGGCACTTACGTGTACTCCGTACCGACCAGAGACCAGAACATCATCACTTGCTCAGTGTGACACACGTGACTCGACCTGACACACACCCATTGACCGCTTGACACCTCAGCCACCATCTCGGCCGCTGACAACAATGACCGACAGGACAAGTGACGGACCTGGTAATATTACCCGACGGTCCCGACCCAGTATTTTTTGCGCACTCCGTTGTCCGTACATAGTATGTTTGATATCCGTAAGCACTAAGCCGCGGGTGTCGTGGGCTTCAAGTTGATTTCCTTGGACTCTGGAATAGAAGTGGAGGTCTTGGAGGTTCTTGGCGGCGTTGGGGATGGCTGGACACTGGGTACTGGGTAGAGATAGACCATAGAAGGCCGAAGGAGAGACGGAATTGATAGTAGGGGGTACGGGGTTATTTCAACCAATCATATTTCGGTCCATTGTTCACACGGCTCGGGGACATCCGGTCCAGGGTTCGTGCGATCCTCCAGGTTTGTCCAATCAGAGTCCCCTGTCCCCAAAGATATGACGATCGCAAATCGAGGGGATCAGGAAGCGGCCCCGCAGACCGTAGTACCTTCGACGTTCGACGTTCGAATCGACCCCATGTCTCTCCCAGCCACACTCCGACCTCCGGGAAACAGCAACCGAACTACGGAGTACTGAAATGAGATTCCCTGTTTGGGCTTTTCCGGTCAGTGCTACGGCATCTCACTGCGAATCCCCCATAGCGGTGCTTATACAGCCAACTCGGTACGAGATTATGTAAGGACGTACCGTAATTGGCGTAGTCAGCATGTCCGATGTTTCATCTTCTCATCTCTGACCAGTGATCATAGATGAAATGGGAGAAATGAAGATTCTGCCTTGCCAAGCTACCATCAATGAGGTGCATCCATGATGCCAGTAAACAGCCAGTTCCAGCCTCACGCTTCTCATGTTTTCTCACGCTTCTCACGCTTCTCACGCCCATCGATGTTACAATTTACGACCTTTCATTTTTCCTTGCAGCACGTGAACCCCCAAGCCGCTCTTACAGGTCTTACTTGCACAGAGTCGTACTCGGTACTCAACCATCTCCACGTCTGCATCTCCTGCCGTGGTTCTCTGCCGTTGTATTAAGGTAGTGTATTCTGCACTCCACTGAGGCTGTGTCGCGTCTAGGTAGCGTCTAACCGACCATTTTCATGCACCTACTTTTTCCAGAATCTTTTCATCTCAAGTTCATCTTATCAGAATATCGGAGGGCTTTCAATCAGCCTTGCCCACACTCACCATAGTAATCCCCCTCCTTAGTCCTTGGGGCTTGGGCTAATTCTTCCTGGCTGATATTCGTTGCCACCACTCAAGAACCCCATCCACGGACTGCAGTTCATTCTTGCTGCAGACAACTGCACCCACCACCGCTTTCTCCGCTACAAGACTTCAACACCCCCCGTTCCACCCCTTGGAAATCTCCATACCATCAGAAGATCAGAAGATGCCTTAGCAACTTCCGTGCTGTGATATGACAGCGCCATGGCTGGCCATTCAATCTCCGATTTGCGAGACGACGACCTCGACACCAGCAAAATCAAAACCTGGCCATCAATTGTCACCCTCGTCGTCTTTGTCGTTACCAGTACGGCCCGAATAACTCGTATGCCCTAGACCCTCGCTTAACTGACCATTCTCAATAGATGTCATCGTTCTCTTTCCATTTCACATCCCCTTTTACTTTCCGCGGGCCATTTCGACCGCCAGCGTAGACGCCCTCGCTGCATTGCGAATAATCCCCCCGCGACGATGCCATCCTGTTACCTCCGATCCTTCTGAGGACGATGATAACAATGGCAAACGCAAACCATGGGTTCGCTTCCGGTTCCCCATGAACTTCGTCACCGCCCCGTTGATCGCCGATCTCTTCCTCCTTGCGATCCAAGCCATTGGCCGACGGGAAGTTCACGATGGAACCATTGGGGCAGACAACATCTCTCCGATCGATATCATGGCCTTCTTCATCACCTTGGCATACATTGCTATATCCATCGATGCCTCCGGATTGATCAGATACCTGGCCTTCAAGGTGCTCCAATACGGTGGGAAGGTTGGCCATAAATTGTTCTTCTATCTGTATGCCTTCTTCTTCGTCCTGGGCAGTTTCATCGGCAACGACCCTATCATTTTGTCCGGCACCGCATTCCTGGCATATATGACCCGAGTATCCAGCAACATCGTCCACCCCCGAGCCTGGATCCATTCTCAGTTCGCCGTTGCCAACATCGCTTCGGCCATCCTCGTCTCGTCCAACCCGACCAACCTGGTCCTCGCGGGCGCCTTCGAGATCAGGTTCATCACCTACACCGCCAACATGATCGTTCCTGTGGTTGTCACCGCGATCGTCCTCTTTCCCTGCTTGCTGTATGTCATCTTCGCGAACGAAGCGTTGATCCCTGTCTCCATCCGGATGCACGAGTTGTCCGAGGAAGAGAAAGCAAAGAAACCCGTGAACCCGAACATCCCAAATGCCAGAGTGACGGCCGAGGACCAAGAGGAGCTCGGCAATGAAGAGGAGGGTAAACGTCTGTCGCTCGAGGAAATTATGAATCCGTTCTTAGACAAGGGCGGCGCCGCATTCGGAGCGGTCATCATGACGGCCACCTTGGTCACCCTTTTAGCGCTCAATGCCGCCAGTCAGAGCACTGGCGAGCATCCCGTGTTCTGGGTGACATTGCCGGCTGCGTTCGTCATGTTCTGCTGGGACGTGGCGTTCGGTTGGTATCACCGCAAAGAGACGCGTGAGATCGCTCAAAGGGGTCGCCAGGAACTAGAACAAGCGCGCGCCGATCGAGCAATAAGAAGTCAGGCAATGCTCGTTGAAAATTCTGAGGAAGGTGAGGGTGATCTCTCTGAAAGCCCGCCGCAGAGCCCGGGTGCCGGTGGCGATGGGGGCGGTGTGTCGCGCCGAAAAGATGCCAGCAACGCCACATCCGCAGATGACGTGGACACCATCGAACCAGGCATCAGTCGACCGTCCACCTTCGCGACGAGCACATTCGACGAAAAGCAAAAGGTAGCTCCCGCACCTGCCAATGACCCATCCAAAACGACGCTTGCACCCCTCTACGCGGAGCCGAACGAGAAGTCGGCAGAGCTGGTTGGTCCAGAGATCGACCCCGAGATGCGACCCTCCGATGATGAATTGTCTCTCGAATCAGAGCCGCAACCGACAACGCTAGTCTCGCTTGTCAAAGTCTTTTACCGGTGGTGTCAAGAGAGCTTTCCCACCGTGACGGCTGTTTTGGCACACCTACCATGGGCGCTCGTCCCCTTTGCCTTCGCCATGTTCGTTCTTGTGCAGGCGTTGAAAACGAAAGGATGGGTCCCCGTGTTCGCCTACGGATGGGACCATTGGGTGGATAAAACGGGCACCGTCGGTGCTATTGGCGGGATGGGTTTCGTGTCCGTCATGCTCTGCAACGTAAGTTTTTGTTGTTTTTAAGAAGCCTCTCGGCGGTGGTGGGCTAAGGGAAGAATATTTTAGTTCGCCGGCACGAACATCGGCACCACCATCCTCCTCTCCCGCATCATTCAAGCCTGGCAACAGATCCATATTAAAAACGGCACTATCATCACCGACCGCACATTCTGGGGGACCGTATATAGCATGGCCATTGGCGTTAACTACGGCGCGTTCAGCACGTCCTTCAGTGCCTCCCTGGCCGGTCTTTTATGGCGCGATATCCTCGCGCGCAAACATATCCGGGTTCGGGAGCTCGATTTTGCATACGTCAACGTCCCCATCATTGCGATTTCAATGACGGTGGGTTGTGCCGTTCTCATTGGCCAGATATATATTATACGGGACACCGAGCCGTATCGATGATTTCAAGAAGGTTGCATTGTCTCTCTTCCTTTATGCCGGGAAATCCCTCCCCGTAGCGCGCGCTTGGTCCGAGGAGTCAAACGATTCCCTGAAACTGGACGATGAATATATAACGACGGTGGAGGTTCTCTAAATATTAAACGAGGTCAGACGTGCAGGGTAGGTAGTTGGGACCGCCTTGGGACCCCCATGGATTCGGGGTAGCCATTGGACGCACTTCTTGACAGGTAGGAGGAGAACAGAGAAGGGTTCCTGGGTCATTTTTAATCGCATCTACGGCCGCGGCACTAATCCAGCGTGCACTGGATCTAGTGTCCTATTCTTCTTACCTAGGACCTCCTGAGAAGATAGAGCGGATAGTTGGTTGGAACATTTCAAAGCCATGAGTGAGCGTATGCCGGAAACAATTATGAATAGATATTCGAACACGCTCGATTGTAAATACAAACTTTGGCCATTGGAATCACTTCATGAAGCTTGTACAATTTGGCCCAAAAGGATAGCACGACTTTCCGATTTGAGAAGGTGGCCAAAAACGCAAAAACGACAGGGTTTGACGACAACCATTATAGCTTCGCAGCTGGGGTTGGGCTCTGGACGCTAGTGATCTCGTTATAGAGGAGCCTAAAAGGGGGTTGTTAGCTTTTGCTCGCTTTTGCTCCGCACAAAAGGGCGATGGCAACAACTTACGAGGTCAAAAATTCCGCATAGTCCTCGCCCGTCACCTGGCTCTCGAAATACTTGGCGGCCAGATGATACTTGTTGCCCTTGGGGGCCTTCTTCGCCAACTCCTCGGCCTGCTCCCGCAGCAGTTTGATGGCGTAGCTCTTGTCCACCTTCTTACCCTCGGCGGTGGAAACGCCGTGTCGGCACCACTGCCAGAGCTGCGACCGTGACACCTCCGCCGTGGCGGCGTCCTCCATGAGGTAGTTGATGGGGACGCAGCCGACGCCGCGCACCCAACCCTCCATGTAGCCGAGGCCAATGTTGAGGTTCTTGCGGATGCCGGTCTCGGTGATCTGGCCGGGCACGTTCATGTTGAGGAGGTCGTTGGCGGTGATGTGGACGTCCTCGCGACGCACGTGCATCTGGTTGGGCGTTGGCATGTGAGTGTTGAAGACGTCGGTCGCGATGCTCGCGAGGGCCGGGTGCGCGACCCAGGTGCCGTCGTGGCCGGCGCGCACCTCGCGAAGCTTGTCGGCGCGGACAGACTCCATGGCGACGTCGTTGGCAACCGGGTCGTCCTTGATGGGGATCTGGGCAGCCATACCGCCCATGGCGTGCACGCCGCGGCGATGGCAGGTCTTGATAAGAAGTTTGACGTAAGAATCCATGAAGGGGACAGTCATGGTGACGGCGGAACGATCGGGGAGGACGAAGTTGGGGTTTTGGCGGAAGCGTTTGATGACGCTGAAGATGTAGTCCCAACGGCCGCAGTTGAGGCCGGAAGAGTGGTCGCGGAGTTCGTAGATGATCTGGCATATGTTAGCAAAGTATGCCCTGAATCCTTATCTGTAACATTTCCTGAGATATGACGTACCTCATCCATCTCGAAAGCGGCCATGATGGTCTCGATCAGCACGGTTCCACGGATGGTGCCCCGCGGCATGCCAATGTAATCTTGCGCCAGGTTGAAGACATCGTTCCAGAGTCGGGCCTCCAGATGGCTTTCCATCTTGGCGAGATAGAAGTAAGGGCCAGCACCCCGCTTGACGAGCTCTTTGGCATTGTTGAAGAAGTACAGACCAAAATCAAACAACGCTCCGGAAATGGGCTCCCCGTCCACGGTGAAATGCTTCTCCTCTAGATGCCAGCCTCGGGCACGGGCAATGAGAGTCGGCAGCTTCTGGTCCGTTCGCAGTTTGTACCACTTCTCTCCTTGTTTGAAGTCCACCTGTCTGCGGATGGCATCGTGGAGGTTGAGTTGACCATTGATCATGTTGTCCCAGGTCGGGGCGCTCGAGTCTACTTCGGTCAGCGTGTGCCCTCTTCTGCATCAAGGTTATGATCCTTTACCTTCGAAATCCGCCATATAGGTCCATACATCCGAGTTCAATGCGTTGACGACCATCTTCCTATCGGTAGGACCAGTGATCTCTACCCTTCGGTCGACGAGACCCGGTGCAGGGGCAGCTCCCTTCCATGTAGCATCCTCGCGAATGTGTCGGGTCTCAGGAAGGAAATCCGGAAGGTAACCTTTGTCGAGCTCGGCCTGACGGGCCATCCGTCGCTGAAGCAGGGCCTTGCGGGTTCCATTGAAGGTTCGGTGAAGCAAGGCAAGGAAAACGGCGGCATCTTTGCTCAAGATGTTTTTGGTCTTGTCGTTGAGAGGACCCAAGACCTTGACGTCCCTCAAAACCTGTTCTGGGTTGGCTGCCATGTTGTAACAATGGTTGGTCGGAATGGAATTTGGGAATTGATAAAACAGCAGAAGTAGCAAAAATCCCGTCAAACAGAGGTTCGGAAAGCAATAGTTAATATTTGGGGAGCGAAGGCGGATTTAAAAGCACCGCAATAAGGCGCTGCCCGACGTCACGCTTCGGGTTGCCGAGGGACGATTGACGCATTCGAATGATTCGAATGAACGAGCGTCTGGCCAGCCCCACGAGCGCCGAAAGAGCGGATCACCAACCGTTTTTGGTTTGATGGGACAGGCTTGAACAAGGAATCGGGCGGGAGGGGCAGGTTTCGACTCTCTAACTAGCTCGTGAAGATCCAGAAACCCTTTTTCGCCTCCGATGAGCTTACAGAACCCGGGGCAGAGGGGCATTTGTTATTTGTTGGGGCAGGAATGCTATCACCTCCGCTTATGCGAGGTTCAGCGAACGTCATACTTCCAACAGGGTCCCTTTCTCTTTTCAGTTTTCTGCCATAGAGGCATTGACTATGACAATGCGGAATGTTCCCATCCCAAATGATACCAGCCGATGAAGGGGAGATGCTGTATAGCATCGAGGGGTTTCCTCACCGATCTCGATTGCATGCATCCCCCAATTCCGCATCAGATTAACGTCGAACTCGAGCTCCGGTGGAGGTGGAAGATGTCACACAATGATGCCGCGGCAACGGCCCGATTGGTTCCGATGGCCTGCAGCCATGTTCCGATATCTTCCACTCGTGCGAGACCCGTCACCACCATATCCCTGGGAAGGACAGTTCCGTAGTGACAAAAAGATGACTTGGATTGATGTTCACCGTGACCGGATGAAGCCGCTAGGAATTGACGGGCCGTTTATGAACAGGAAAATCCATTGTTGACTCACTGCTGTACTAGGATCTGATGACTGAAGGAGGTTGATTGTCCAACCGCACATGGATGCAAAGTTCTTGGGTGTATATTTAATCAATTGATGGAGAGATTTGAGAGCCCGGCCAGAAGGAGCTGTAGGACGCTTCTTGCGCTTCTGGTCTCTGCAGTCTGTACATTACGTTTGTTGAGGTTTCCACTAATTTTGGCCAGATTTTGGCTAGGCACGTGGACTGCGAATATAACATTTGCACGTGCAAGAGCCACAGGTAACATCACATGATTCAATATCTGTGGTTAGACACGTGATGTAATCCACGTGACTGGCTCTGGATCGACCAGGATAACGGCCTTGGCAAATACTCGTCAGTTGGTGACTAAACAGCAGCAAACTGGAAAGCATCCTCATCTCTCGCTCGAGCTATCAGTCTTATCACCCAGTCCTGGTATTATATCACTCCATCTTCATGCAGTTTTATGCTCCCCTCAAGCGAATCGCGTCTAGTTTTTGCCATTAATACCCCTTCCGCCATTTTGAACCATCCGAATTGTCCCTTGCCGTTATTGCATGGGCCAACTCACCATTCCCCGTCCTTGCCGTCAACCCCGAGACTCTCCAACCCCCTTGGTGTCGAGGATCTGTATGTAGCCTCCTGGTATTCTCAATATGCCCTCCATCCTCTCCGACGACGACAAGCAAACCGTCAAACGAAATGTCCCCAAAGCCTCGAACAAGATTCACGCCGTGGCAGTTGTGAAGCTGTATGTTGCATATCCCAACAGGCAGCGATGGACATATTCCGGCCTTCAAGGGGCGGCCGTTCTTGCGAATGACTTGGTAGGCAATACCTTTTGGATCAAACTAGTGGATATTTCGGTAAGTACTTGCCATTTAACAAAGTAGCCCTCTCACTAATGCGGCACAGCCATCCAACCGTGGTGTCATATGGGACCAGGAGATATACGACACATTCCAGTACAATCAGGACCGGACCTTCTTCCACACCTTCGAGATTGAGCAATGTCTTGTAGGCCTATCCTTTGCGGATGAGAAGGAAGCAAAGACTTTCCGGAAAAAGGTGGATGATCGGGAGAAGAATGCCCACAAGAACACCCAGCGCAAACCCTTTGGGACGACAGCAGCGAATGGACAGCCTCGCCAGGAGAAGCAACATCACCACGGAGGAGGAATTTTCAGTGGACTCTTTGGCCATCGACATACTACAAGTCATCCGGAGCCGACACAATCGATCATACCTCCGAAAGACATACGCGTCTCCTCGCCGACACCATCTCGCGTAATGCAAGAACCCCAGGAACTACCGTCGCGCCCAAAAGGCAACACTCTAGGTCTAGACCAGGATATCCTGAATGAGATCCGAGAAATGGGAATCACAGACGATCAGATCGAGGAAAATGCAGACTTTATCAAGATGTGGTTGGAACAGCGAAAGGCCAACCTCGCAGCGGAGGAAAGGACTCGTTCACGCGCTCCACCTCCACCTCCTCCAGCTGCACCCTCAGTGCAGCACCCAATTAGTCCTCAAGGGACTGGAAGCACCACCAGATCTTCCCGTGGTCCACCTCCAGCGCCACCTCCCGCACGGCGTGGAGGAGCCGCAGTTCGAGCTTCGTCTCCTTCTCCTCCTCCTCCGCCTCGTCGAGAAGTAACACCGCCCGCACCACCATCTGGACCCAAATTCCGTGTCCCACCTGCATTCGCGGATGCTGGTAAATTAGCGGCCGAAACCGCTGCCCCATCACGGCAACGTGGCAGGTCGACGTCATCAGCGAATCAAGGACCACCTCCGCCCCCGCGACCACCAAAGACGCCTCTCGACGAGTCCCAGGAGGCACCCTCGTCTCATAGATTTGCTGTTCCGCCGCCATTCACCGGTCCTCGCGCGACGCAACCGCCGCCTCCTCCTGCTCGAGGGGCCGCTCCATCGGTACCACCACCTCCGCCGGCCCGAGAGACTCCCGTTCCCGCAGCCGTACCTCCCGGACCACCGCCGAGGGCCAACGGTTCTCCTGCACCCCCACCGCTCCCGTCAATTCCTCGCCCAACACCACCTCCTCCGGCACCGGCTTCCTCTGCCCCCCCTCCCCCTCCTTTACCGTCGTCCGGCGCTCCCCCGCCACCACCCCTCCCCCAGACCTCCTCTCCACGTCCACCACCGCTTCCCCCT